CTCCATTTTTCATGGTTAAAATGTTCAAACAACCCCTTCCTTTTAGTCATTTGATGAAATTTCCTTAAATCACCATAGTCATCAGAAACCTTCAGGCTCCAACAACCATAGTCACTGCTTTTGTCATCGTCAACCCTCATTACACAGTAAAACTCTTCATTGTCATCGTCCATCAGGAGAAAGACAAAGAGGGTGATAGAAGAAAGGAATTAGAGGCGTCTAGGGTTTATTGGTTGGAGTGTTGTTGTCATCGTGAGAAAGTAAAGAGAGTGATATCTAAAACCAAAATCTATAGACCCTTGCTGTCATCTGGTTCCTCGAGTTTCTCTCCTCTCTTTTCTATCAACGAAACCAAATATATAGAGTGAGACTTGAAACCAAAATCTATAGAGTCCCATTGTGATCTGGTTCACCAAGCTTCTCTCCTCTCTCATCTATCAACAAAACCAAATATAAAAAATGGTTTTTATGGGATTTTGTGGATTTGATGGCATAAGATTTCAAATTTGGAACATTGAATTCATTAATGGGGTTGTGATTATGTAAGACCAGATTTTGTGTGTGTTTGTGATTTCTATTTGATCGGATTTTTTGGTTTTGAGATTTTACTTTCATCAAATATTGATTTTGGTTTGGTAGGAGGGGGAAAAGGTGGGATTCTTGTACGACCTTAAATTGATTGTATGTTGATGTTTTTTTTTTAATTTCATAAAATAGAGAATAAATAAATAATAAAAACAAAAAAATATATAAATTAATGTCCAGGGTAATAAAGTCATTTTGGGTCTGGCATAAGACGCACGTGACAAATACAAAGTCAAAAAAATAAAAATTAAAAACCAAATATATAAACTACCCCAAACCAAACCAGAGACCATTAGTGTAATTTACTCTGGTTTTATTTTACCATTTAAATCTATCAATGACGTCTGTAATAACGTCAGTCATTAACAAATAATATTTTTGAAAATTCATTTTTCTACTTGAACAAGTGTCAAGACAGATCTCTATATTGTCCGTACACATTTTTTTAAATATTACATATATCTTAGATATTTATCATATAAAATTTTATACGATGAAAGCGACAGCTACCATTTTATAATAATTAAATAGGAAATTGTTATTTACTAGAATAGTGAGGAAGTAGAAGTCTAGAAGCAAAGGTGGATTGTGTGCATATATACCCAAGCATTGATTAGTTTCCAACACAAGAAAAGAAAGCAAAGTCCAAATTAAGAAATGGGAAGGTCTCCTGTTCCTCCAAGTTCCAATCAAAGTAACCTCAAGAAAGGTGCATGGACCACTGAAGAAGATCAACAGCTTATCAACTACATCCAAAATCATGGCCATGGAAGCTGGAGATCCCTTCCTAAACTCGCTGGTCATTCATCTCTCTCTCTCTCTCTCTCTCTCTCTCTATATATATATATATATATATATATATATATATATATATATATATATATATACACACACAGTAATTTATACTTAGACTTATAGTAAGGTTTTTGATTTTTCATGTAGATTACACGTAGAATAAGATGTCAATCTAATTAATTTCTTCTATCACAAATAATCGATTTTAGAACTTTTTTATTAATAAAGTTTGATTATTTGTTGGATATTTGATAAATGTGTTTAGTTATAGGTTAAATGTGTTTTTTGATGAGACGGGTGGTGTGAATGGCAATTTTTTTAAGGGTACACCTAAAATTACGTGGCCTATAAAGTATGTGTAAAAGTAAGAACTATAGTGGTTGTTTAACTGATTGTGAATTTTGAAGATACTGAATCTGTTGGTGTATCTTTTAATGCACTTTTGTAATATATTTTTTTGAATACGTGTATGCTTGATATATATTTGATATATTATTAAAAGTGGACTATTTTGTAGGTCTTAATAGATGTGGAAAGAGTTGCAGATTAAGATGGACGAATTATCTTCGACCAGATATAAAGAGAGGAAAATTCTCGCAAGAAGAAGAGAATATGATTCTTCACCTTCATTCCATTCTCGGAAACAAGTAATACATATAAACCGTATTAATTTCTAATAGTAGAAAGAAAACCTACTACTACTATGGATTGACACCATTCAAAAACAATATGCATTAATGTAATAAAACCATTGACGGTTGTATTGCATGGATGTTAAAGGTTTTATGATGTCAATCAGTGAATGATCTTAAATAGATTTCTCGACAATTCTTGAATTAATGAAGCTTTTTTTTTTTTGGTTGATACTTGAAGATGGTCAACAATAGCAACACGTTTACCAGGGCGTACAGATAACGAAATAAAAAATTACTGGAATACCCACATGAAAAAGAAACTACTCCAAAGTGGTATTGACCCGATGACCCATCAGCCAAGAACAGACTTGTTTTCTTGCTTACCTCAACTACTTGTCCTTGCTAACATCAAAGAGTTACTTGAACATAATCAATTAGCTCAAAACCTTCAATACTTCAACCATTTTCTTCAACCCAACACAGGGTTATCAACCTTACTAAACCGAACAAGTTCAATCCCCCTATTTCAAGAAGAAAACCTTAATTTTGTGAGTGAATTTCCAGTACTGGAAGATGATCAAGAGAGTGAAGAAATCAGACAATTTCCTGTGGGAACTTCTAATGTTACCCAACCACTCCATCAAGAAGTCTCAATCATGAATTTAGAAACAAGTAATGATTTTAAACATGTGGGTCATTGTCAAGGCCAATCAGCATTTACGAGTGTCAATTCTTCGCCATCAATATCAGCAGTCACGTGGAATCCTATTCCGCCATTGATAGACAACACAACCACCACCACCACCAACAATAGTGGTTCACTTGAGAGCGGCAGCACCATTAGCTACAGTGGCGGAGATGGAGGAGCTTCTTCATATAACTGGCCAGAGTTTCTGTTTGAAGACTCTTTCAAATTGGATCAGACTTTACTAGAAATGAGTTGATGATCCTGGAGTGCATACGTTTTATGGAAGCTTTTTTCCTGGAGTGAATTGGAGAATGTAATCATGTATGGTACAACTTTACGTTGCATGGATTGATATATGTACAGTTATGAATTATATATATAGACTAACTAGTTTTTGATATATGGTGTATGAAACCACATGCATCAGCTCACCTCCAATATTTGATATTTGTAATATCTTGTTATATATTAAATTATATTAACTAATCATAAATATAAAATTTAATATACAAAAATTAAATCTATATTAAAATTTTGAAACACGGTAAAGTATTTTATAAAAACTTATAACTCAATAACACTTTTCAAATATACAACATTTTAATACATAATTCATGTCGATAAAAAAAGTCATTTTCATATATACCGGTCCGATCCGGTTTTACTAACGTTTTTCGAGTCCGGTCCGATTCTTACACGAAACCTAAAAATTGAAAAACATTGGAAGTGGGAATAGGCCTGGTTATTGGTAGTTCCGGTTCAGTGCGAGGATGATTTCGGTTTTTTCTAGTCATGTTATGAAATTTTTTACCTGATCATTTATAAGAAATTTATTTCAACGCAAAAATATGTAGTAGTTTATTAATTATTGTTAATAAATTAATAATTAATTCAAATTCATTATATACGAACATTTTATTTTGTTATAAAAAAGATAAAAAAAATTTAAAATCTAATTAATAGAAGGGCATGTTCGAAAATATATGTAAGTTACAAAAAGATAATATACTAAGAATATAGGTTTTAGAATAAAAAGTGGGTTGAGAATGATATATAATTGGAAATGAAACATTATTTACCTCATTTTTACTCTATTTTTAGAGCAAAAAATGGAGATATATTGGAAATGGTCTTACATTGTATTTGATTTCATGTATTAGGGTTTACATTTTTATTGTGCGTATTAGTTATCTAAGCCATTGATTGTTTAATCCAAAGGATAAACAGTTAGTTATGTGGTTCTATGAATTTATATTTGTTTTACAATGATTATATATATATATATATATATATATATATATATATANTATTAACATCTCAGAAATCATGATAAAACTTTTATTTTTTAACTAAAGAAAAATCATTGTTTCAATCAAAACCCAAGTCATAAAAACCAAGTATTAGATACAATTATCCCAAAATCAGAATATCATAAAATCTCAAAAATATATCATTGAAAGATGTGCACGATCACGCATTCATAGCCACAAAAGATTCCTACGAGTCAGGCATTCAAATCTGACATGCTCACTTTACGGGTTTCTAGGATTCCTTGTCGAAACCACCCAAAATCAAACCGGCTGCTGGTCTCCTCCACTTAAGGCTTGTTCTATCGTCGGTCGATGTTTTTCCACATCGAAGTCCTAAAACCGATTCATCCAGTCACTTTCTAAACACAACTCTTGATATGCAACATTGCATGTGACAGTTTTGAATAATAACCAGCAATCGCAAGGAAATCCTGAACCTTAGATGGAGATATCAGAAGCTTTCCCACATTACAACTTCCAAACCGTCACTAACAATCCTCTTACTTTATGATTTACGAAGCACTCCGAAGACCAAATCCCTGATCCATTAAAACCTACAGATACTAACATAATAGTTCCAACAAGCTAATTATACGAATGACTACTGAAAACGTCTATTTTATACATATATTTATGACATTTTGTTATTATTTTATACTATGTTTTTATGTTATTTAGAACTAAAAGATACTTAATATGCTTTGAAATGTTCAATTACAGTTAAAATGGGAGCTGAAATGCAAAATGAGGAGAAATGAGCTAAAAAGACGCAAAAATGATGTTGTTGGACAGCTTGACCACTCTTCAGTGTTTCGGTCATATCTCATGACTCATCACTCCAATTGACGATATTAAAAATGTTCTGAAAACTAGACACAATTTCGGACGACTTTCGTGTTTTGAGAAAGTGCTGATTCCCACTCACCACGAAGTGGTGAATGGAATATTCACGACCAATCAGATGATTTGGCGGATACGGGATTTCGACGAAAACCACGATGTGGTGACCAGTTATAAGCTATAAATAGAGCCGAAAATTACCCCTAATGATGTATCTTGAACCCTAATTCGTTCCTTACGATTATAAACCTCAGAGAAGTCTTTTTGAGGGTCTAGAAGGCGGCCGAAGGGCCGTTAAGCTGATATGGAGCGAAGATCTGAACGATTCGAGAGCAGATTCATGTCGGGAATCATTCGGTTTACTTTTCTGATCATGATTAATGTTCAATTTGTGTTCCTACTGTTTTTACTTTCTGAATTCAGGTGTTAAAACCTATTTCTTTTGTTTGAACTCGATTTTATGTGTTGATTTCAATGATTTTGGATTTTATTAGTTTGTTTATTAACTATGTTTGATTGATCATCACCTATCGTGTTAAAGTTATTATTTTTATTTCCTATTGCTGAGTTATGTGTATTTAAGAGGACCTATCTAATTAAATTAACATCTTAATTAGTTTATGATCATTAAACTGTTAGGACTAGAGATTGATCAAATTCTAGAGTTAGGTAATGTTAATATGTGACTTTGGCTGTGTTAGAGAGTTTAGATATTCATGTTATGCTTTGATTGATTGTCATGACCATTGATGAGAAATCACTACATCATATCATTCATGATCCAAATATATTAAATTAATTATATGTTCACTAATTGCATGATCATTGTGTTAGTTGTTCATTAATTATTAGTACTAAGAAATCCGATCAAGATAACTAGTCACATTAGAATTCGGGAACCAACTAATAGATCCATTGCACTATTAACGAAGTTAACCATGATTTTGAGAAGTAATCCAAACTAAACCAAATTACGTGAAGTGATTCGTTTCTAGTCAGTTTATCTAGTTAGTTTAGTTATTAATTGAGTTTTAATAATAAAAACCCACTTTTATTGCTTTCTTTTATTTGGAATAATCTATAAGAAAATATTCTGATATTAATTCACTACCGTTCCCCTTGAGTTCGATACCCTTACTTATCAAAACTATATTATACTCGATCGGGTTCACTGCCTGTAAGGTGTGGTTTAGATGCGATAAACTAGGAATTATAAATAAAAAACTAGTGCATTAAAAATAACACATCAACTACCCATTTGGCACTACACTAAGCAAGTACATCCATTCAAAATAAAACCAAGGATCAAAATATATACCTATGATTTCTTGCGATTCAAGCTTGACCTCTTGTCCGACGGTGGGTGTCTGGGCTTTTACTCCCTCCGCTGCCCATGTAGGACAATCGAATTTGAGATGACCCAACCGGTGACAGTGGAAACACGTCTGATCCTTCTTGAAATCACGAACGACATGCCATTTCTCTCTACACTTGTAGCATTTGAACTTGTGACAAGCAAACCCGTGGTTTCCACCACACTTTCCGCAGATATCAAAGTCCCCCTGACTTCCAGTACCCAGGTTAGCAGCCTCGAACTCTTCCTCCATCACTGAGTGAGCCCTCTTTCTCATTCCAAGTCACGTTCCCACATCAAGATCTATCCTCGTAGTCACCTCAACAGTCCCTCTCACAGTCCACAAGGCTGCAGTTCGCTCTTCGAACTTTGCAATTAGCCTGCCAATGATTCGACCCACGATGCTAGACAACTCTTCCTGTAATATCTATGAAACCTATGTGGCAATCCAACCGTGTCACTGTGACACCTGTTTTCATGACAGGAACTATTACGATACATGTAATGACTTAAAAATCGCATACTGTGAGTTAAAGTATGTGTTTGGTATAACTATGATTTGAGGTGAGTTTAAAAAGTGAACTAATGATAATTTAGTGATATAATACATAGGTTCTTGTACTTATTATGTTCTATTGTAAGATGAGTAGATTTAAACCATGAAATTCTGAGAAAAATTATAGTTCACTCTGAGACGGTTTCGTGGATATAAAGTTTGTCATAAACGGAGTCTGTATGAGAAAGTTATGGCCATTAGAAGTTGAGATGAATGTATGTTGTTATTTTTAGAAAGTCAACGAAATTCCAAGTCAACGGTCAAACTTGACCATCACAACGTGAAAGAGAGTCTCCCCGACATGACGTATGTCGACAACACGTGGCTGAATTAGTCTATATTTGACCTTCACGACATGAATGATGATCCCTCACGACGTGAAAAACGATGAGTCATTGAGACACATGGCAGATCCTAGTCTAGACGCATCTCATGACGTGAGATTATTATGATCACGACATGAGACTCTTCATGGTATAAAAATGAGTGTCTTGTGTCATTTTGGGAAGTTTTGGAACACATGATTGGAGATGTTGTGCGGGAGTCATTTACGGGATATTATATCGGAGGAGTTATTATGTGAGTTACGGGCTGAGTTACGAGATCGTGGAGGTATATTTTTCCCCTTTATTGTATAATTATTATTTATGATAATTATAGAGAATTTTTATACCCGAGTATGTGTTACGGGATATCCTGATATGCTGCTATTAAGAACCCGGTGAATTGTTGAATGTTAATCTGGTCATTTCGGGTTAAATACCCTAATTTATCGAGATTTGTCAAATTAATTTACGACTTGCAGGGTAAAGTTGTGAGTGAATTATATTTGAAAATGTTACAAGTTTGGGTGACAAATAGTTACCGAAAGGGTAATCTTACCTTTCTCTATATTATTGTTATCTAGATACTTGGTAATTATTGTACATACTTAGATTTGAGTATAATATTTAAATTGTTAACATTTAATATCATATGAGTTGAGTAATTGTGATAACTGAGAATAATAGTTATTTCTTACTATGTGAGTTATTAAATGAAGTAATTGGAAATTATAGTATTTTAATACTATTTGAGTAAATAGACAAGTGTAATTGAGATTGTATAATTGTATATTACTATAGGAGTTAAGGAGATAGAGATGCGGAGATAGGAATATAGAGAGATAAAGATTTAGAGAGGGAGAGAGAGAGAGAGAGAGAGATGGAGCTAGAGATGTAGACACACACACACACACACACACACACAGAGAGAGAGAGAGAG